GGGTGGACCCTTGAGAGGGTTGCGCGGGCGGGCGTGCAATTGAGTTGTCCCGGGACTTGAGAGCCCCCGGCGGTTCATTTAGAGGTACCCTCAAGGTTGAAGCCTGGGGGGCGGCCCTCTCGTCCCCGAGGAGGGCAAACGGAGGTGGCGCCCCCCGGAGGTCAGCATCGCCGTGCATGCGGTCGGCCTCAACTTCCGGGATGTCCTGATCGTTTTGGATCAGTATCCGGGGCCTCGAGCCGACCCGGGTTCCGACTGCGCTGGCATGGTGGAGCACGCGGGCTCGCAGGTCGCTCACATTGCTCAGCGCGACGCTTGCTTCGGTATCTCCAATGCTTGCCTCGCATCGCATGTGTGCTGCGACGCGCGATTGCAGGTGCGCAAGCCGAGCGCGGTGAGCTTTGAGGCCGCGACCACTCTGATCAGCACCTGGTGCACTGTGCACGTGGCGTTCGTCCGGTCCCGGCTCGTCGGCTCGCGGCGGCTGCTCGTGCACGCTACGGCCGGCGGCGTTGGCCTGGCGGCTTCGGAGTACGCCGCGTGGCTTCGCCTCCGGCTCTTTGGCACCGCGGGCGCCCCGCGCAAGCACCACCTCCTGCGGTGCTGCGGCGTACGCTCGACTGCGAGCTCTCGCCAAGCTGCCTCGTGCGGGCATTCGCTCGCATCGCAGCTTGGCGGGCGGCGCCTGGACGGCGTGCTCAACAGCCTGTCCGCGGACTTCATCTCCACCTCCTTCGCGCTCCTTGCGCCGGCCGGCCGGTTCGAAGAGATCGGGAAGCGCTCCGTGTGGAGCTTTGCGCGAGCCGCCGCCGCCGTGCCGAGCGCCTATTCCGTCCTCGACATGGCGCTCGACGTCCCCGCCGACCCTGACTGGTACTCTGCAGAGGTGCTGCAGGTCCTCGCGCGGCGGCTCGAGGCGGTTGTGGTCCACGGCCTCCCGCTCCGCAGGCGAGGCATCGCATGGTAGGCACGAGGATGGTTGGAGAGGCTTCAATGCCAGACAGACGTCGAGCGAGCGAGCGAGAGGGTGAGTGGTGGACAAGAGGGGGGGGGGTCATGACCGTGGCGGTGCTCTGGTGCTCTGCGCCGACCGAACGGCGGTAAAGCACCAGCGCCTCGCGGTAGAGCGCCGTCGCGCGCTCTCTCTCGCCGAGCGAGCGGTGTACGAGCGCTAGGTTGTTGACGGCACTCGCGCTGACCTGTCGCGGAGACAGGCTCGCAGTGTGTGCCGGTGCTGGTGTGAAGCTGGCGGGCAGGACGGGGACCGCCCGCTCTCACCGGGTGGTCGGGGCCAAAAAGAGAGCGTGCGAGCTCGCGGCACTCGGCTGCAGCGAGGCGTGCCTCGTCGTACTTTCCCGCAGCGTGGGCCTTTCCAATCTGCTGCTGAAGGGAGCGGATGCGAGCCTCCGTGGCAGGAGGCACATACGTCTCCGCAGCGGGACCGTGCTTCGCATGCAGCGGGTCATATCGCGAGTATGGCTCGGCGCTCTTCCCACGGCTCCAGCAGCGGAGTGGAGCTGCTGATCTCCACCTACGTCTTCCCACGGCTCCACCTAGGCCTGCTGCAGCCATCACCGTCGAATGTGCTGCCACCGTCGATGGTGGCGGACGCAGGGCAAAACCGCGGCTGAGCCGAGAGAACCGACGCACCGTGAGCTCCGCGCCGCAGAAGCCGCAGGCCAGCGTCGAGGCCATCGATGTAGCGCGCAGGGTTCGGACTTTTTGCGGGGTATGGTATGGTACTCTCGCGCAACCCACCTCGAGACCATACCCCCCCGCCTGCTGACAGACCCAGCCTCCC